AAGATATAGGATATGTCCGCACCGAAAGCACGGTGAGTAGAGTGGAGGAATTGCTTTTTTGTTATGTTTTTTCAGTAAAGCAATCCTTTAAAGTGTGTTTTTTTCTGTGTTCTCACTCCCTGTGGCCTTGTAGCCCTAAATGACTGTAAGGCTGTCATTGCACACTGTTAATCATACTGTTTCACACAGCAGATGTTAGAAAATTTTCTGTAATTTCTACTTTGTTAGGGATACTATGAAAGGGTTCCATAACCAGTTTGATAAAAGGCAGTTTTCCCTATCAGTTAGTGTTGCTACTTTTTCTTAGGGGAAAAAGATTTTGTACCTTGAGCATCATGGGTGTGATGTGATGAGAAAATCTTCACCTGTTGATTTCTGCCTCCTATGTAGTCTCTGTCCATAAAAAGCAAAAGCAAAATTTCCTTCATCGTCTCATGAACTCAAAGGCAAAATTGGGTGGCAAACTCAGGAATACAGGTAGAAAGTTGCCAAAAAAAACCGGAATTGTCTGCTGTTAGGAAATGTGGGAGAGACAAAACATTCTGTGTTAGAGGAAATTTTAAATAGAATTTATCTTCCAATTTAGAAGGTAATGAATTGTTTTCAGGATGTGGTTTCTTAAACCAAGAAAAATCCAATCAAAATCTACTGCTGTGTTTTTAACATGAATTTATTGAAATTATCTTTTTTTCAGGTGCATTCAAATATTTTGGCCTATGGGCAAAACTTTTTTAAAAATGAACTGCTTATACACTTCAACTGAGCAGATTATCTTGGTGGGTCTGGCATTGAAACGACATAATGGCCATGGGATAGGCATGGAAAAATTACTTCATGTTGCAGTTTTGTTTTTTGACTCAATACTGTCACACGTTGCTTCCTACAATGAAAACTGTGACGTGAAAGGGATTTATTACTGTGTGTACTTGTGAACCAGACAGAGATGTCCCAGGAAACAGGGAGTGGCTGAGTATGCCTATGCCTGGTGAAAAGGCACAAGTAAATCCCTTTCTAAGTATAAACAGGAGTCTTTAAGGTGCCACAGAATTCCTGTGCTAAGCATGTACCTTGCTAAACATGTTCTTAACCGTATGAATGATTTGAGGGGCTACTCCAGTGAATAAATATTATAATATAGAAAACACCTTTGGCAGTCAGTAGTTACTGGTGAGGAACAGAGCAATAACATAAATTTCCTTCATTATCTCATGAGCTCAAAGGCAAAATTTTGGGGAACCCTTACTATTGTTTTCAAAATTGTGCATTAATCAGTTGCCTGGAAAAATAAAATTAGTCAAAGGGTTTGTGGAAATTTCTGAGTGAATCAATGAGTGGGGTCAAATTGGTTGTCAGATCTTCTTTGTGTTTATGGATGGTGAAGATGTTGAATATGTAAATACAAGGGGGACCCGCAATACTCGCGGGGGGGCAGTCTCTGTCTTTCCCCCGTTCTTTCTCTTCCCCCCAGTCTCTCTCTCTCTCTGTCTCTCTCTCCCCCTTCTCTCTCTTCCCCCCAGTGTCTCTCCCCCTTCTCTCTCTGCCCCCCCAGTCTCTCTCTCTCTCCCCCAGCTCT